TTGAGGATGTAGCCGTTATTGTACCGGAATCGCTGTTTTGTAGGGTATTGCGAAGGTCGGCGTGCCATCATGTTCTTAGCTCCACCCTCGCCCCCAGTTTTAAGAGAGCGTGCTGGACGGACAACATGGGTGCCACCAGGATTCTTTCTGAAGGAGGGGGCGCTCAAAATTTGCTTACATTTACATTTACATTTGACCCACGTAAGACAATTTTTGATAGGTCGCCCTAGAGTGTTCAGGAGACAATATCATTAAAAATAGTTTTTGATATTAATATTTTGCGTAGTTCCATTCAATTTTTGTTTTGTTTGAATCAGGTGAGTGTGAGGAAACATCATGGTTTCTCTTCCTCTGTCTGCCGGTACCCATGTTAGTGAATATTCGTGTGTGCGTAATGGCCTGAGTTGGTGTTCATTTGCCAGATGTGCGACTGTAACTCGATGGATCCATAATCACTTATTTTAAAATAAGTTTCCCCGTAACATTTTCCAAAGTACTGGACGATTTCGTTTAAGCTCTGTAAACTTTATAGGTCCTTTGGAATTTTGGTTTAGTTTGGTTCAATTTGAGGATAGTTTTATTGCAGGCAGAGCTACTGACTCTGTGTGACATCGAGACTTCCTAAAGTAATACACTGATTTACGCGACATTGCCCCGTCTGCCGCACAGCAAGAAATGCAGCTCTGCACATTGTTACAGGTACCTATGAGGCTGTACGGTGACAGCAGGAACCTAAATAGCTTTACAGCCTCTCTACACTTGCAGTAAGTTATAGAATCTTCCTGTACAGTCACGAAGGGTGCAATTATGCGCACAGTTGCAGGTCCCTATCAGGCTGTGCGGTGACGGTAGGAACCTAAATAGCTTTACAGCCTCTCTACATCTACAGTAAAGTGAGTAAAGTAAAACTATCCCTGTAACAGGCCGTGAAGGCCTTGAGACGTTGAGGGTCCCACACTATCTAGACAATCAGAGGGTCCCACACTATCTAGACAATCAGAGCACAGATGGCGGTAAGGTTGTCAGCCTTACGCGACGGCCGCGCTTTGCTCCCCAGGAAAATTATTTAATTAATTCCTGGTACTCATTTCTGTTAGAGGCTGAGTAAACCCCAGGGCCTAGTGCGGCTGGTAGGATTGAAAAAAAATCTAATGACCTCATCGGAACTTGAACCCACGACCTTCCGGCTTGTAGCGTAGCCCCTCAACCAACTACGCTACCGCGTAGTAAGCTATAAAATGTTCCTATACAGTCACGAAAGAATTCGCGAAATATTCCTCCTAGTGCAGAGGTAGTTGTGTCAGGGAACGAACCTGAAACAGGTTATGTAATCCTCAGTTTCAGTTATGTGATCGTTAAAACAGTTACTAAGATTCTGTTTTCAGCATACTTCCGGCAGTCATACGCCAGTGAGAAACTCAAACACACTGGGTTAATACTTTTCTCACTAGATGGCAGTGGGTATGCGTTTCTGATGTAAATGCGCTGTGTGTTCAGTGTTAGGAAATTATATTAGTATATTACTTTCATGGGAATAATATTGTTAATTACAACGTACGCAGTCACAAGGAAAGGACACAACACAGAACACAATATACACAAGAATATAGGAAGAGTACTCCCATAGGAGAGGATTGACGTAACTCGCGAATTTGAAGTGCGACGTATAGATGATAAATCTTGAAAAGTGTTAATATATAAACTTTATTATTATACATGACATATATACATTTTAATCATTTTATAAAGGAGACATGATGGCATACAGTGCAATGGTTTGACGTAAATAAAACCACACCTAAAGATGGCACATTAGTGCCGAAACATGTAGTGAAGAGAAAAGTGAAATTGTGTGCACTGTAAGAGGATTGGTACAAATACACATCACGAATAATATTGTTGTTATTTTCCTTAGAAATTATGCTTTTGTAATATGTTTGCCTTCATTTTGCTGTACTTGCAGTGCGTGCTTAGTAAAAGTACACCAACCTGTGCAAGCCTGTGTATCTTTTTCTGGAGAATTTCAATATGTCGGGTGTTTCATTTCGTGTCAGCACCTTCAAATGACGTTCAATTTCTTAATGTCCTCCTAGGAAAATCATTACTAGCATTTACTCACCAACTGCAAAAGTTCTTTTCAGTTGTTCTGAGTTACGTACACTGAGATCTGTTCTTCTGCTTGGCCATAACTGTCTAATGAAAACAGCAACAACAACAACAACAACAACAACAACAACTAACGCAATAGATCACATCGTTTCAGTCTTTTTTTTTTTAATTGTAAACCATGTGTCATTTCTGTTTACATTACTTCAGTATGAAGGGTGTGTTGACACCATGCTGTGTTCATAGACCAGTCAAAATTCTCTCTTTGATGCATGATAGAAATGAATGATGTTTACAGGTATGAACAGAATATGAAGATGCTAAAAAAAGTTAATTAGAAAAATTGCCCTTGCAAAAGCAGGATTCAGATGGCGCTAGTGCTGTTAACCATGAACTAGCAGTAGAACCTTACTGCTGCTGCGCTCATCTTATTACTACTACTACTAGTAGTAGTAGTAGTAGAACTGCTAAGAAAGAGGTTTCATCTTGATCGGCACAACTGCCATATGTATGTGGAAAGCATCATCAGCAACTAACGATGAATGGTTGATGTGCTATATTGCACAAGGTGACAAGTTTAAGTGAGGACTGATGCTTTTCATAGCAGATCTCAGACATTTGCATCGATACATGTTGAGAAATAATGTTTATTTTATGGGATTTTACCCTCTGAAACTTTTCTCTACAACACAGCTATTACACACATAAATGGAGGAGCACCTGCTATTAACAGCCCTGCTCATTGTTTCTGTGACTGTGGAGCATGTACATATTTCCTTTTTCACATTTTTCCATATTTCTTTTACTTATTACTGACTCTTATCTGTTTATTGTAATGCATGTGTTTCCATGACAAGTTATGACTTTGAAATGAGTGGCTGTTTAAGAACAGATCTCGTTTATGTTTAGTGTTCTGATCCATTTGGTTATCCATTCATTATTTTCAGACACCGTGTTCGCCATTCTTGCGAGGAAACTTGTTTAAATAATTCTTAATATGTTGAGAACTGTGTTAAATTTTGGATCTCCATCATGGCTGCTTAATATGCATCCATAATATGTATGTAATGGCCGTCTTGTAGTGCACTCAGTTTCACATGTCACTTCACTACATGTTTCGGCAACATTGTGCCATCCTCCGGTGATTTATTTACGATAAGCTATTGCATTGCTTGCCATCATGCGTCTTTCATAAAATTATTAAAATGTACATTCTTCGTTAACTATAATAAAATTTGTATACACTAAAACTTGTTAAGATTATTCATCTTATGCGTCTTAATTCAAACTCGCGTATTGTATGGTTCTTCCACTATGGGAGTCGTTTTTCCTATATTTTTTGTATACTGTGTCTTGTGATGTGTCCTTCCTTTTTGGCTGCGAGTGTTGTAATGTTGGATGCTGGCTTAATACGTATTCTGAATTAACATTACTTAGATGTGTTGTAAATTCTGTAACAGTGTAACTATTTATAAGTCTAGTATATTTCTCTCAATTATGACAATTTGAAATCAGGTCCGTACATTTGATGACTAGAAGTTGGGCATCGTGATCAGGTGATCCATCTGTCACTGGTTTGATATGTGATGTTGCCTAGAGTTGCCTGTAAAAATATTATTGACCACAGTACTGGAGTAATTTTGAATTCTTATGGTGAAATTAACGATTCATGTAAGATTGGACGATGTTAATAGTGTGTTTGGACATTGTTTTTGTAGTAAATTTCAGTAAGATAATCAGTGACCGAAAATGACAAATTCGGGTTTAGTTTTATGAAGACAGTTTATTTTTTCTGACGTGTTCAGGAATGATGCAGATAGGACGTGAATGTTAGGAATTTAGCTTCCAGTTGCACAGAATTTTATGTGTTGTTCGTTACAGCAGTTTTTTTTATCTACATGATCATTAAATTATGGATTTTTTGACAAAGATGCTTCTCGTTTGTTTAGAGTAACCATTTCCTGCAGTGTGTAGGTTAACGTGTACAGTCCCTGGTTCTTTCCTAGCGATGTGCATAGAAGCAATAATGCCAATAGCTCACAAGACAGTGTTTTTTCCACAGCAAACAAGAAATGAAATTACAAGAAACATATATCACAGAATCTAGTAAATATGTAGGAATAAAAATACTGATATCTATCATGAAGCAGGAAAACAAAACGTGGATAGGAGAACTGAATTGCCATATGAAATTTCGGAATTTTCTTTTCTGAAGGCTTGAAGGTATCTGTTCATAGCACAGCTTGCGTCCTATAGCGTTATGTTCGGTTAGGCTGCGTTAATTTAAATTGTAGTGATGCATCACAACATGAAGTTGAGCGTTATCATTACGAAGAGTTTACTCGTACATATAGAATTGATTTATACCCTCGAAATTTGGCCCGAGATATTTAAATATTTTGAAACTTTGGGAAAAAAAAATTAAGACTCCTTAAATTCCAAAAGCTTTCGATTTGCCGATATTTGAGAATTCGAATGGATTTCGGAAATTTTGTTTTTTTAGAAAGGTTTCAAATCCTCAGAATTCTAAAAAAAATCATTGTAATAAGTCAGTTTTTAGAAATAAATAAATTTTGAGACTTCTGAAATCTGCTAAATATTCAAACACTCGACAACTTGACAACACGAGTTTATTACAAAGTTATGAAATTCTATAAATTTGAACAGTTTCTGGTATAATCTCAAAACAAGTATCCAGCACACATAACTACCACTTACCTTGCGAACGTCACTGGAAGTCCGCCAGATTAATCGCCTACATTTGCTCTACCTAAGACCGTATAAATTTATATTCAGATGCATTTGCTTTTTGTAGTTTCCCACAGATGGACACATAAAGCCTATTTCCTCCATTGTATTAAACCTTGCCGATTGATTCTGTTTTCTGCTCCTAGGTGATCTTTTACGACAGCGACTGGAACCCGACAGTGGATCAGCAAGCTATGGACCGCGCCCACCGTCTGGGCCAAACCAAACAGGTGACGGTTTATCGGCTTATCTGCAAGGGAAGCATAGAAGAACGCATCCTCCAGAGAGCTAGAGAAAAGAGTGAGGTGAGTCGCGGTCAGAAGATGTATTGTCATTTATAAATGAATATATGCGCCCATAATCTCGCTGTGTTTTCCAAGAACTCGTTTGCTGGTACTCGCATGGACAGTTTTAGCCTCAGCTGCGAAATATGCAAAAAAACTGGAAGTTGTGTGACTTTTCACAGGTGTGCTGGTGTACGTACGCGCTGATTTGACATGTTACATGATATGTTTGTGGCCCCCAGCAAAATGTTATTGGCCTATGTCTCTAGAATGAGCCGTTTATTTGATTCTGTTGCAGATTCAACGCATGGTGATCAGTGGTGGCAACTTCAAACCTGACACTCTGAAACCTAAAGAGGTGGTATCCCTGCTGCTGGATGACGAGGAAATAGAAAAGAAATGTAAGTATAACAGTTGTCACTTTGATGTGATGTAATTACAGAACTTTAACCAGAAAAGGTGAAAGGAAGAGACCATCGGGGAGGTCTAGACATAGTCAGTATTAATGAGAAGTTTAGAGGAATGGGATATGGGTATGTGGGCTGGATTCATGTGGGTAGAAACCAATGTTGAACACTATTGAACGTTGAGGTTCCTTGGAAAGCAGGAGATTTCTTAACTTTTCTGTAGCCACGCTAAAAGGCCCCGTGGAAGGTGGGGATGATGGTGGTCGAGGCTTCCCCCACTCTGCAAATTGTTGTAGTTCCCCTTCAGTCTCGTTTGGCCTCAAGACCAGCCCAAAATGTTTGTTGCCGCTAGAAACATTGGAGAATTGGAGACTATATGGGAGGGGCAAGGGAATTGTGGAAGGGGTCAGTCGGTCTGTTGTCTTTCCATGGCTTGAGTATAGGATAGTGACTCTTAGCTTTTGTAGAGGACATCTGTTTGAAGTTAATTCATTGGTTATTATAAAAATGAACGACGCATAACAAATTTTGTATTTATTGTTTTTTTACATTTGACTTTCCTTCAATTTCAAATAGACAAACAAGAAATAATAAATATATGGAAAATTTTGGTGAAGGGAATCTATTGGAAACTGGTTTTTTTTTGGGGGGCGGGATTAGGATGAGGTTTGCAGTTAATGTTAAATATCTTAGGGATTTAGGTTTATGGTAAACTTAATTTGATTGAATTGGGTCATATATTATACAATGGAGAACTTTAATCTTGGGCTCTGTCAAAGAGGAATCTCTGGGGCTTATTAGTGAGTCGATCTGTTAGGTGGGTAGTTTTTTTTTTGCCAGCTTGTGCTTTTTCTGGTTTTATTATTGACTCTTAAATGTATACTCGTATGTTGTTACTTGTGTAGGATCTTCTTCCTCTGAAATGCATGAAAATGTTGTGTAGGATACCAGAAATGTTAATTCTTTCCCACCAGACCGTCAGCGACAAGCAGAAAGGCGCAGTCAGGAAGAAGCCCGCGCAGACATCTATCGGGAAAGAGACAGGGAAAGGAAGCGGAAACAATGCTTGGGCGTCATCAGAGTAAGTGTTCTAATATTCACTAGTATACGAAAACGTCTCCTGTCAAATCATCACACTTCTATTATTAGTATTAATGAATGCCTCTGTTATGAGGTTCGAGGCTTTCATTATGTTATGTGGGGGCACATGGTAGCGTAGTTGGTTGAGGCACTATGCTACGAGCCGGAAGATCGCAGGTTCGATTCACTATGAGGTCATTGCATTTTTAAATTGAACTGATCCTTCCACCTGCACTGTGGCCCTGGGGTCGACTCAGCCTCTAACAGAAACGAGTACCAGGAATCTCCCTGGGGGGTAAAGCGCGGCTGCTGTATAAGGCTGACAACCTCACCGCCATCTGTGAGCCGATTGTTTAGAAAATGTGAGAGCTTCAACGTCTCAGAACCCTATGGGCATCCATGGCCTGTTACAGGGAGCACTTTTTCTTTTACCTCTTTCTTGCCATTATATTATGTGTGTGTGTTTATAGGCTATTTTATAATCCACACAACTTCATATAAATAGGTACAGGCCTTCTTACCGGGGGGATGGGAGGGGGGAAGCGTCCAGAAGCTAAACATCCACCTTCTCCATATAACGCATACACATTCTGTTTGCGGTGTTCTTAGTAGCTAGATTATGTAGTGTCAGATAGCGGTCTCCGTAGTCTAGGGCTAACGTTCCCACCTCATGACTCAAGGTACGCGGGTTCAAACACGGCGGAGATCGTGGAATTTTTAAGGGCGGAAAAATTCAGGGAACAAGTACTCCGGGAGGGACTTTAAGCCGTGGGTCCCATGTCGTAGCTTTACGGCACGTAAAAGAACCCAATGCCTCAAGGAGGCCTCTGAGCCAAATTATAAAGGACATTTCCTGCCCAACAATAGTCTCTAACGCCTCTGGTAGATGGGGGAAGTATCTAGATACCGCTGAGCCAGTAGAGGCCGAACTCGCTGGCTGAGTCGGGACTGATGGCACGCACCAGTATCGGTAGGGTATAGAGACTGGTAGAATATCACAGGGGGACGTAAAATAGACCACTGGTCCTGGTGCATGGGGAAACCCACCCCCTCCAATAATAATAATAATAATAATAATAATGTAGTGTCAGATGGTAGGATGATTGATGAATTGGAAAGGATTTGGAAGGAGGCAACCATGGTATAATGAAGGTCCTATCCCTGAATTGGCCTGGATGGACTAAGGAAAATCATGAAAGCCCTCATTCAAGATATCCAGTGTCCCAAGCGAGATTTGAACCGGGCACCTCCTGAATATGAGTAAAGAACATTACTGTTAGAGCATCCTGCCCAGTGCAGTGATTAAGTTCATTGTGTGGTATTTGGGGTAAGGGGGGGACATAGGGTTGTTAGATGTCGAGGCTCCCGCATTTTCTAAACAGTCAGCTCACAGATGGCGGTGAGTTTGTCAGCCTTACATGCTGGCCGCCCTTTACCCCCAGGAAGATTCCTGGTACTCATTTCTGTTAGAGGCTGAGTCCACCCTGGGGTCATAGTGCGGCTGGAAAGATCAGTTGAATTGAAAATTGCACTGACCTCATTGGGAATCGAACTTAGACCTTTCAGCATGTAGCATAATGCCTCAACAAACCACGCTACCGCGTACCCTCTAGTATTTGGGGTAGGATACTATGTAGTCTTGTATGAGTAAGTGGATACCAGCAGTCTGAATACCTGCTGCAGTCTGAAATGTGTCTGTTGTCAGGACAGTTACCATGATTATTGTCTAGGTTTATTTTTTCTGTGAAACTTCATGAAGATTTGAAATATAGTGTATTCTCTTTACTGCAAGATCAGTGAATAGCATATTAATTGTGTAATTTAATAATTTCCCTTCCTTTGTATTATTAAATGAAAGATAATGCAGTGGATATACACATAGGATTAATGGTAAAAGAAGTTATCTATACAAATTCTCTTTGTGACATGTGAAAGGATTGTAGTTTGTTGTTCATTTGGTGCTTAGCTCAGATAAGCGTGGAATGATTGGATGGTTCTATGGTACTCGTGATATTCAAAAGTGTATAGTTATCAGTGAGTGGTAACCACATGTTTTCTGTTAAGATTATTGCCAAGTATGGCCTTACAAACACACGCCAGACACCCTTTAATAGCTGTGCATTTCTCCTAGTAATTTTGTAGTCATTTTCATGTGAGTTGATGGCTAAGAGAAACCATGAAGCACATCCAACTGTGCGGCTAGTAGCTCTGAAAGAAGCATAAAGCATCACGTTACAGTACTGTGACATGCACTTCTATAGTACCTGCGTTCTCAACATGAGATCTAGTGAATACTTTAACCCTCTGAGGTTTCATTTTATGACGCCTGACAAGGTGCAGCATGTTTCATTTGAGATTTGAGGTTCTTATTTTCAAAAGTAATAGGATCACTGTCTTCTGGAATGTGATGCCATGTAGTTCCATAAATAACAGTGTTTCGGAAGCACTTGCTGCTTCCACCTTCAGGTGGAAGAATATTATGTGTGATGTTAGGCCTTGTACTTTAGGAGATGGGTACCAACTGTAGAAGGGATGTGCTGGCTGATTTTTCAGGGTAGAAGACTATTTTGTGGAATGTGGTGCTATGTAGTTCCATTGATAACAGCGTTTCAGAAGCACTTGCTGCTTCCATCTTCAGGCAGAAGAATGTTATCTGTGGTGTGAGGCCTTGTACTTTAGGAGATGGATACCAAGTATAGAAGGGATGTGCTGTCTCAGTCTTCAAGGTAGAAGAATATTTTGTGGAATGTGGTGCCATTTAGTTCCATTAATGACAGTGTTTCAGAAGAACCTGCTGCGTCCATCTTCAGGTGGAATGATAGTGATGTGAGGTCACGTAGCTTGCTGAATGGATAGCAGTTTGGAGGAACCTATTTCTTCCATTTTCAGGGTAGAAGGATATTTTTTGGCGTGTGTGGTCTTGGAGTTTGATAGATAGGTACCAATATTTCAGAACAACCATCTTCCTTCTTCTAGTTAGAATAAGCATTCTTTTATCCTGAAGATGGAAGCAGGAAGGAAGGGACTGTCTGCCCTACACAGAACAACCATCTGCCTTCTTCTAGTTAGAAGAAGTATTCTTTTATCCTGAAGATAGAAGCAGGAAGGAAGGGACTGTCTGCCCTACACAGTGTCACATCCCAGTATACTGCCATCCTATTTTCTTTGTGATTTACTTTATGACACTGTCAGCTTCTCATACTGTATGGCGTTGAATGATTGGATGGTCGGTGCATAATGAATTGGAACGGATTTGGAAGGAAGCGGTCGGTGTGAATCTCAGCTGGGGGCACCGGCTATTCTGACAGTGTTTTCATGGTAATCCTCAGTCTACAGGGATGTGCCACAACCGTTTCCTTTCAAATCCAAATTCATCAGTAAACCTACAGTTCACTTGCTGAAGGCGCCCTAAAATGACCCTCATAATAATGTGTAAATATTATATTCTAGTGTGTAGTATCGTTGCTATGCAGCAATCTTGAGAATGAACGTGCATTGCTTGGTAACGGGTGGTAAACACGTCAATAATATCGGGGCAATCGCTAGACAACCGCCAATAACAATAGAAGAATTGTTGGGGGCAGTGTTTTCTGTGTGGTTCGCCCCGGGACTATATAACGAGGACCCCAGTTGAGAATCGGCAGTCGCGTTTGAGCTCTGCAAGGGAGACTGAGAAGAGATGGCGCTGTAGTTGAGTTGGGAATTGAGGGAGTTGAATTGCGGGATATTCGCCGGACAGGAAGGACCTGAGCGTGGGAAGCTGAAGAATCCTCACTGTTAGAAGCCGTTGCTAGAGAACGGCTGGCTGAACACACTGCAGGCTGGAGAAGACTTAGTGTTTGCAGCAGTGATTTGTAAAGTATGGAGATTAGCGGTTGCGCTTTAATTACTTGTAGTTCTGAGTGGTATCAGCAAATCCATTCACCAGTCTGTACCCCGTTCAATAGTCACACCCCTGAAATGTATTCGTAGTTAGGCTGATTAATAAGAATGGGTTCTGAATTAGATGATTGGATGTATTGACACTTTTTACAATTACAATCAGTTATGACTGTCTACGACTCGCTCCGTTCCTTACTGGACCACGAGCATCTTCTCTTCCATTTTGACGAATGACGAACGACGAACGAAAAATCACTGTTCGCTCATTGAACTCACTGAACTCCTTCTGAATTACAACTCTTTCGTAGTTCCATGCGAACGGAATATAAGTCACCATCTCAAACGGTTCATTCTGTGTTATCCGTTGCCACGGGAATCGGCGCCTTTGTTAATATTCGTTGTCTAGCAGATGGTCATATTCCGTCACAGCACGAAGGGGGCGCAAGTTTAGCTCCTAGATGCTTTACCCCCGCGGTGGGAAAACCCTGTACCTATTTATAGGAAGTTGTGTGGGTTTAATAACCAATCTAGAAGCGAAGAGAAAATTTCGTGCCTTAGCCGGGACTCTATCCTGGTCGCCCGGTCAGTAGGCTGCCCTTACCGACTGAGCTGTTCTGGTTGCTGTGTTGAATGAAGCTTGATAAGCATGGGGAACCTGTGAACTCCAAGCACTGTAGCCTGTGGAGAGGCAACCTCGGTATGTACGTGTAATACCATGCCCACTGCGTGTTCTGGGAACCGGCCCTCAGGGTTACCGGCCACGCGAGACGTCGTCACGGGGCGGAACAAAACGCCTTCTGGAACCGGTATAGTCCCGGCCGGAATGATGTGTTACGTGTTGTAAGGTAAAGATGTACCTGTGCTTGCGGCCTCCGTAGTCTTAGGGGTAACGTTCCCACCTCATGACTCAAGGTACGCGGGTTCAAGCCCGGCGGAGGTCGTGGAATTTTTAAGGGCGGAAAAATTCAGGGAACAAGTCCTCCGGGAGGGTCTTTAAGCCGTGGGTCCCATGTCGTAGCTTTACGGCACGTAAAAGAACCTCATGCCTCAAGGAGGCCTCTGAGCCAAATTATTAAGGACATTTCCCGCTCAACAATAGTCTCTAACGCCTCTGGTAGATGGGGGAGCCAGTAGAGGCCGAACTCGCTGGCTGANTGTCAGCTTCACACCGCGGCTGCTTTACCCCCGGGGAAAGAGCCCCCGTTACCCATTGGGTAGGAGGCTGGGTGGGCCCCTAAGCCGGTCTGGACGACGTGGAGAAGAGAAAATTCTTGACCCTATCGGGTCTTGAGCTTCGACCCCTCGGTCGTCCAGCCCGTAGCATGGTTACTTGAGGCGCTATACAAGCCTGAAGGTCGCGGATTCGAAACCCAATGAGGTCATTATTTTTTTCATCTGACATAATCTTTCCCGCCGCCTTGGGGTCGACTTAGCCTCTAACATAAATGTGTACCAGGAATCTTCCTGGGGACAAAGAGTGGCCAGCGCGTAAGGTTGACAGCCTTACCGCCATCTGTGAGCCGATTGTCTAGAAAATATGGAAGCCTCGACGTATCACAACTCTATGGTCCTCCACGGCCTGTTACAGGGATAGCTTTACCTGTTACATATTAGTACTAGCAGAAAATGTGACGTGCTGATGTCGAAATGGTGTTCTGCGACGTGCGCATATTGGTCTCATACTGTTTGGGCCAGAATGTTGTATAGCAGTATCGTCTTACAGGGTGATTCATATAGAACCGGCCCGACGAAATGAGGTGTAATATAAAATATACCATGCAGATATTAAAGTAATTTACACATATCTTATCTTGGATTGTGTGCCGTGATCAGGGCAGGTGTTGAAAGTGTCTGCCGTTTTCAAGTAGGCATTAGAAACACTCGCTATTCAACAGTGTACTCCATGACTGTCGCCTGCGCACTGCAGACACGTTTCGGCATTGTCCTTGACCTTACAGCATAAGGGCTGCCACTTGCCGGATCATGCGCACACCATTCGATTCAGCACGGCCCACAGATTATTATGTCGTAATTGTGAGCGGTTATATTTATCACCTGTGGAATTATTAGCAGATTCATCGGGCCGGTTCTATACGATTCACCCTGTAGTTCAAGGAGGACTAATGAAGCTGTGCGTACGGCCTTAGAAACTGTTAGGATCGTAGCTTATTTTTAACATCGCTATATGAACTGCTTTCCCTAATGCTTTTGTTTTATCGATTTTTACGATTCTGTCACTTGCTTAGGAATGTAATAAGTTTAGACTAAATATTACGGTCATCTGGGATGTCAGCTTGTTGCTTGGAAAATAATTGTAAACTTTTCGGTACAACGTGTTATTTCCATCTTCAGGGTTGAATAATTGTATTGAATGTTAAGACATGATGAACAAAGGATTTATAAGATCGTGGTCTGTTTTAAGGTTCATTATGTTGAATTTATTTTAAATTGGGTCGCCATGATTTCTTCGGAATCTTATTCTATAGCTCCGTGTGTTTGTCTCTCCCCGAAGGAACTGAGGAACACCACGAAAACCCGCATTGAACTCTGTACCTCCTGTATACGTGGTAGGAGAGTTACCCATTGTGCCGGAACATTTGATTCAGAATTATCGTTCTGATTTTATTGACATAGGCTTAGTTATATGTGTGTCACATGACGTAGCAGTATTTTGTCCACAGAGGGTGTTTCTGTGTTCCGTATGATTCTCTTGAAATGGAGATAACTTATTTGTTCAGTATTAACTGATTGGCCGTTTTAATGAAGATGTGTATTTTCTTTGAGGTAAAGGTAAAGAGAGTAAAGTTGTACCTATGCTTAACTAATTAAGCATTACGCCATGAAGGCGTATGGGAGAGTGGATGCATAGAACCACATTTTCTTGACCTCGGTACTAGCTGGAGGTGAGTGTTCAGCTTCAAGCGCCGGCCGCTTTACCTCCGGAGAAAGAACCCCCGTACCCATTGGATAGGAGGTTGGGTGGACCCAGAGCCGGTATGGACGACGTGGGAAGAGAAAATTCTTAATGCTACAGGGACTCGAACTCCCATCCTTTGGTTGTCCAGCCCGAAGCCAGTCGCTATACCGACTACGCTACCCCCGGTTCCATATTCTTTGAAGCAGGAACTTTTAATTCGAATTTTTTAAATATTGTTAGATATTTTTCGAGCTTGTGATGGTTAAAGGAATGTTGTCTGTTTTAGAACGAGCCAAAAAGAATCCGGCTTGAAGACGGACACGAAGACTCCGTCCCCAGCGTGGACTCCACACCGCCCAGTCCAAGCCAGAGTGAGGTAAGTACCAGTGGACTGGCCGTCAGGTCTTACATATTGCAGGAATATCTTAAATAGCCAGATTTTCTTCCTCCTTTTGTTCATGCTATGAATCAGATACGTGCATCAGAAGTTGTGTTCCATATGAACTGAAACAGCCCAGTCAGTATAGTGACTACACTATGAGCTTGATGACTGAACAATCTGGGTTTTGTTCCCAGTAAAGGTATAAGACTGTTGTCTTTTCCACAGCAGCAGACAGCCTCTGTGGCCCACTGAGTCTCATATCCAGTTGGTACCAAGGCCTAATTCCCTAGGGGTATAGCGGCCAGGGCGTGAAGCAGATGACTCACTTCCATCTAGCGTCAAGTTAAGAATGCTTGGAGCTATACCTCCATTTTCCTATACACAATCATGGCATGGTGATTAAGTACAGGGAGAATATTACCTATGCTTGCTAAAATTATGTGAAAAGTAAAGGTAAAGTCAATTGAATGGAGGTTGGGTGTGTCCTGAAGCTTGTATGGACACTATGACAAAGAGAAAAACCTTTTGCATCTGCCAGAATCGAACCCTGACTCCCCAGTTGCTCATCTGATAGTCTAGTTGATGTGCTGACTGAACTGGATCTTACTCAGGCAGAAAAAAGAAAGGTCTTGAATATGTGGATCTTTGTGCCCCATATACATCTTCATGGCATGCATGGACATAGCTTCAGTTTGTTTCTGTGCGCAAGGAACATTGGTGATGTGTAGTTCATTGTTTTTTGCGTAGGTGTCGCAAGGAAGTGGAGCGCTGCCTCAGGATGAAACAAGCAATGAGGGTCTCGTCGTGGATGTGGATAGCCCTGCCACTCCTCAAAGTAAGTTACTTGTTCACATGTATCTTTATGTCTGTCCAGCCGGATTACATTAACTTTGGTATGAATGTCACGCCATAGGTAGCAGTGTCAACCGATGTGGGACTGAATATCTGTATTTCAGACATTTTAATTAATATCCAATAATGTTATTGGTTCAGGACTTTTTAAATATTAGTTCCAGTACCTGATTTTGTGTAACAGGGGGTCTTTACAATTTGCGGTCTTCACCAGATACTACTAGGATCAGATCACAGAAGATGATGAGATAGGTGCTGCATGTTGGATGACTAAACATAGTTGGGAAGGTAATATTGTGGCGTATAGACCCGTTGCTGGTGGCACGCTTCAGCGTAGTTGGTTGAGGCACTATGCTACAAGCCGGAAGGTCGCGGGTTCAAGTCCAGATGAGGTCATTGTATTTTTTTTCAGGTGACCTAATCCTTCCAGCCGCACTATGGCCCTGTGGTCAGCTCAGCCTCTAACAGAAATGAGTACCAGGAATGAATTAAATAATTTTCCTGGGGATTAAAGTGTGGCCGGCGCGTAAGGCTGACAACCTTACCGCCATGTTTGAGCCGACTGTCTAGATAATGTGGTACCCCCAACGTCTCACAACCCTATGGGCCTTCACGGCCTGTTACAGGGATAGCTTTACTTTTTTTTTACTTATGGTCCCGTTGCTAGACAAAGACCTCAAAACAAACAACGAGACAACAGCCATTGTTGTGCAACGCCGCGGTAAACACTCCTCTACAACAGTAGCGTTACTGTTGGAAACGGCGTTATGCAAACCGTTGCTAGGCAGCTGCAACAATGAGAGCGGGGGTTTTGGATGGATGATCGGATTTATTGGACTCTTTGATGCAACGCTTGACTGCACTTTACAGTACACTGTTACACGCACACATTAGTGTCCACAGTCACTTATTCGCTAGCCGTTGCTTGATAGCGGCTTTCAACTGCTGACATTCCCCTTCCATTGGTTTCCGGAACTGTCCCCAGCCTCAGCTACCAGTTTCTGACAGCAACAGCTCACAACTACCGATCCTCAGCAGTTCTGTAACTAACTGACTTCTGACTTGTGCTGCTCATAACATCTGGTCACGGACCGCACAGAAAACACCTTTCCTCTCTTGCTGTTTACGGCCAGTGCCTAGTAACGGTCGTTTTATAGTTGCTTATTTCGTTGTTGTTGCCTAGCAGCGGGTCTACATGTCATGATATATACCGAGTTTCAAAAGGAATAATAATTTTTTAATAAAGATTGTATTATTCTGTAATAATGTAATTAATTTAGGTAAAATATACGTTAGTAATATCCCAGTGCCCAAGTGTAACAAGGGTAATTGCGTCCAAAATTTGTGATCAGAATTGTACTTTTGATCGAAATTATACCGGTTTTTGTGACAGTGTTTTAAATGTAATTCATAAAGATATATTCTATATGCAGGATCGATATCTGTATTGAATTCAGTTTTCCGTGATATATGGCGCCGACATATCGATATCAACTGATATCCGTAACTATAACTCTGTCCCTACAGTCTATAGGGCATCTTGAAATGGTTGCAAGATTGTTTTTCACAGGTTATTTGGAGTTGGTTAAATAAAATGCAAGTAATAACTTAGCTAAATGTATTGTGGCGTGTGGAGTCGTTTCTATGCAACGACTGCGAGATGAAGAAATCTACCGGGACCGTTTATAGGCCACTGCTAGGTAAACGCTTCTGCGCGGCAACGGATACGTATGCGGCAGTCAAAGTATTGTCCGAAATGGGGCGTTTCTGCGCGGTTCGTGCTGACATAGTGTAAGCATTGGGCAATGCTTAGTCAGTTGTGGGATATTCGCCGGACAGTAGCGAGGTGAGCGCAGAAGCTGAATGATCTCCATCGTTAAGATCCGTTACCAGGAAACGACTAAGGAAAGTAAACTGAGATGTAGAGTGTACTCTAGTGATTTGTAGGTTGTGGTTTTTTTAAATGCTAGTGGGGTGGGACTAAGTCCCTTGTACTGCGGCCACTTCTGGCCTATTGTACCAGCCCCAGATGATAGGTGACGGTGATTGTGGAGCAATTGGTGGAATGAAGATTAGCAGAGAAAACCGAAGTACTCGGAGAAAACCCGCCCCAGCGCCACTTTGTCCACCACAAATCCCACTTGACCAGACCCGGGATCGAACCCGGGCCGCCGCGGAAGCCAGCGACTAACCGCTTGAGCTATGGCGCAGCCCTGGTGTTATAGTTACTTGTAAGTGCGATCTGTAAGTCGTCAGATCCAATCTCCAATCAAAACTCCGTCTATAATGTGACTTACACATGTGACAGTATTCATGGAACAGGAACAGAATGTGAAATGCCTGTAGAGGTCAGCTGATTTTAAAATCCCAGTTGCTATATAATTACTTGTAGTTACGAGTTGTGTATGTAAGTGGCCAATAAATTTATTGGCCAGTCCAAACCCCGTCTCTGGTCACACATACTACGTGAAAGCTGTTGTCAGAAGTGGGATTCGAACCCACAGTGTTTAATCTGCAGCAGCTCCCAGTATACATAAGGGAGGAAATGCTTAAGTAAATAACAAGTAAGCTAATAAATGTATTTGTAATGAAGCACGTGAGAAGGAGATAACCCTGCTCTTAAATAGGCCAGTCGAAGACCAAGAAATCGGAAATATTTTGACAGGATTTCTCATTTACTACAAATCCCCCCCCCCTTCTTTCATCCTGCTCCTCTTGTTTTCTTGCCTGCATTCGTAAAGAAAATAATCTGTTAGCCTCGCCGTGTCTGTCCGTTCGTTTACGCATATGTATTAGATAATTTGAGGACCGATTACGTTTTAAAATTAGTCAACTTATTTCACTTTTGCTTGAAATCGGATTATATCGACGTACACTTTATATGAAGACGTGCGAGGGTTTCTACGCGCTTCTCGACCGTAACGCTCTAAATATTTATTCCAGCGAAAAATGTTTCGAACAAAATTTTGTGTAGAAGAATGAAACGCGCGTTTTATATCTAATGCTTTTTTTTTTCTTCTATTCCCCCGTAATCATTACGGTTTGCAGGTTAGTGAAACAGAAGTGCTGTGTATGCTGTATGATAACGTAACCGTTAGACTGATAGGGCAGCCTTCCATTCACTTCGCCCCCCGCCCCTCCGCTGTTTAATGAGACAGCATCGAAGGTTCGCGTTAACGGACTGAAGACTTGACGGCAAGAGCGTAGCGAACGCGGTAGAATTGCAACGCTGGTTTCCAGAGCCGAGCGGTTACTGTCTGGGATGCAGCGTTAAAGCGAATCAGCCCATGTGAGCGGCCTGAACAATGACCTGTTCCGGATCGTGGGACCAGCGGGGCCTTGGGCACGCGCCGCACACTGTTTGGGGGCCCTGCGCTCCAGAGACGCCACACAAATGATCGTCGAACATGCGCGGACTAAACCTCGTTCCGTTTTCAGACGAAGTGCCCTTCGAGTGAACACTTTTTCATTAAGCGTACTCCTGCTTTGTAAGTCATTCTCCTGTTTTATGGCGCTATATCAGTCCCTGAGGTTATGTAATATGGGTGAAGATAGTCATGCCATATTTTGTGGTAATAATCCAGGTTACGACAAAAGGGACTGGTGAAAACTATGCAATGTAATAATTTGCTGTGGTCCTCGCCAGCACAGTCATTCTTTGTTTCGGACCCCATCGAGACCCATGACCATGTTTTTGTTCTTTCAAAGACCCTTGACGTGTTTTCAGATGGGTACCTCATTTTCGACGAGAAATGTTAAAAAAGAAGAAAAAGCTATCCCTGTTACAGGCCGTGGAAGCCCATAGGGTTATGAGACGTCGAGGCTCCCATATTTTCTAGACAATCGGCTCACAGATGACAGTGAGGTTGTCAGCCTTACGCGCCGGCCACCCTTTACCCCCAGGAAGATTCCTGGTACTCATTTCTGTTAGAGGCTGAGTCGACCCCAGGGTCATAGTGCGGCTGGAAGGATTAGGTCAATTGAAAAATCGAATAACCTCATCGGGAATCGAACCCGCGACCTTCCAGCTTGTAGAATTAGTGCCTTACCCAACTACGCTACCGCTTGCCCCTCAACGAGAGGAGGGGTTGGCGTATTCTGGGCAGAACAGTAATTTCTTCAATAAAACTGTGAAGAAACAAAATAATTTATCCTCTCCCAGGATTCGAACTCAGAACGCTTGAAGTGCCCCTTGAACAAATTCGCTCAGCGGTCATGCTTCATGCTCCACAGGTTGGAATCTCGGCCAAGTCACCGGCCATCATTACATTTTCGTGGTTTTCCTCAGCTCTTGTGTCAAATGCCAAGATAGTTCCTTAATTTATGTCACCCCCGTATTATTATTATTATTATTGGAGGGCGTTGGTTTCCCCATGCACCGCGACTAGTTATTAATCTATTGTGCGTCCCCCTTTAATATTCTACTAGTCGCCATGCCCTTCCAGTACTGGTGCTTGCTATCAGCCCTGTTCTGCCAGCGAGGTCGGCCCTCTCTGGCAGTGGTCCCCGATACTTCCCCCATCTATCGGAGGAATTGGAAACTACTTGGGCGGGAAACTTTGCCTAATTTTGCTCAGAGGTCTCCTAGAGACATGAGGATCTTTTACTTGCCGTAAATCCACGACACGGGACACAAGGCGGAATTTTTCCGTCCTTAAAAATTTCACGACCTCCGCTGGGTTTGAACTCGCGTACTTTGAGTCATGAGGTGGGAACGTTATCCCTAGACTACGGAGGCCGCTTAGGTCACTCCCGTAAAGGTCATCCGTTGCATGTTCATCGAGGGATGTATCCATCACTTTTGCCTAGGGTTTACTATACATCCTAAATATTCTTCTTTTTGTATTTCTGTAACAGCCTAAAGTAACCTTTATCCGTACCATATCCGTAAGGATGTATAAGCGGTAGTATATTTGGAGAAGTCGAAGCAGGCGAACGTGAAGACGATGACTCTGTTATCCGAGACGACGCTTTAAAATCGTG